ATAATTGAATGATTAATTAAAAAATAGATAAAAATAAAAGTAAATTAAGAATATTTAACTAACTTAAAAAATAAAAAATAATAATTAATTAAGAATAAATTTAAAATTAACAAATAATAATTAATTTGAAATAAAAAGAATACATATTATTAAATAAATATATAAAAATTATTTTTCAAAATAATTATTAAATAACATAATATAAAATTATATAAATTTTTTTTTATAAAAAACTATTTCTTAATCATTTTTTTTGCTTAAAGAAAATTTATTCAGGTCTTGGTCGTCTACTTTTTGACCACGAAATAGAAGTAAACTTACTCACATGGTACCTCCAAATCGTGCCCCACCGTTCCGCGAAGTAGTATATGACGTCACTCGTGAGTGAAGCAAGCAGCAAATTGCGTATTGGATGACATAGCCGCCCCGCCCTTGTCCCCATCCATGTAGACGTTGAGTGCAAGGTGCAGACACACCCTAGCTCTCCCCCCTTTCCACGTATTTTCTATTCCTTTTTGCATTCTACTTAATTTTTTTTCTAAGTGTTTCTTTTTCAACCTTCAAAATAAAATTATATAATATAATAGAATTATTTGAGATTATTAATATCCCTAGCAGTTGGTGAACTACTTGAACTAGACTCAAATCATCCTTATTTTGTTTAATAAAAAAGTCAAGCATGAACTTTACTTCTCCTAACTTAATAAGATTTTAATTTGATTCAATCTTGTTAATGTAGAGATAAATTTGAGTTTGAGCATCTTGATATACAATTTAATTTATATAATTTATTCGTAATTTTATATGTATTTAAAAAGATAAATTTTTTAAATATTGATATTAAAATTAGAAATCTAAACATAAATTAAATAAAAACTTATTTATGAATCAAGTCTTTAAAATTATTATAAGATTTTATCATATAAAAAAACATTATCTATATATTTTTGTTCATCATCTATGGACAATGATTCCCCACAAAACGTCACATAAAATTTATTTTTGAGGCAATATGTCCAACTTGCTCCAAACTCATCAATAACATGTATAACGACATTTAATCTGTAGCTCGGGCAGTACAAGCGGGCATGATTATTGTTGTACAGAAGAATATTAAGATTACACTAAAATGACATGTATTTAATTTGATTACTAAACATAATTAATAATTAATAAAATAATTTATATTTATTATTTAATATTTTAAAATTAATATATATCCTAATATTTTTAAACAACCTAATTAATTATATATTAATAAAATTAACCAAATTTAAACAGATTCAATATTTTACTTGACCCTAATATTTTATTGTACAGCAATGGCCATGGCCCGGCCTCCAAACCTTTCTCTATCTGTCACAACTGTAAATCTGCACTACTATGTTTTTTTTATGTTAAATCTGTACCATATGTTAATCATCCTCAGCCAGGGTTTTGTGATATATATCCATTTATTTGGCTTCAGCTAACATACATAATGGATTTTTTTTATTTTAAAAAATAAGTTCCCAATTTAATAATCACATTTTTTTAGAAAAAAAATAAATTTAATATAAAATAAAAAAATTATATATCAATTTGGACTCTTCAAATTAAAAAAATATTTTTTAATAAATATCTTAAAAAATTAACTATTAAATTTAATATTTTATATTTGTTAACCATGTATATTAATTTTTAAATCAAATGAAGATATTTAGTTAATTCATTAATTATTTCAAAATTTAATATTATTAAATATATATTAAAAAATATAATTTTTAACCAAATAATTATAAATATTAAATCAAGTAATACACATAATGGACATAAATACATCATTTAATCAATGGATGAATTTTCAAAATATTCATAAAATTCGGATTGATATTTGCAATTTTCATAATAAATACTTAAAACAATAAAATGCTTTTTTTTTAGTGAATTTGGTTGTTATGGTTCCTTTAAAAAATCATTGTTGTCACACACACCATTCCTTGTTGTCTTAATTGCCTTTAAAAAAAAAAAAGGAATATTCCTTTATTGTTGAAACATCAATTTTCTTCATTTTATTTCTGCACAAGAAATTATTTCTAATTGGAGTTCGTAAAATTTTCAGTGTCAACGAAAAAATTATTTGGCCAAAATATGAGATAAAAAGGACGCCACATATGTTATAAAGCCACGTTAATAATAAATAATTGCGTAAATAAATAAAATACAGCAAACCACCAAGACCGGCGCTTCCTGATCTAACCTTATATGACAGTGGACCCCACTCCTCTCCATCCTTCCACCTTCCTTCTTCTCCCACGTGCTTTTTATCTTCCCACTTATTTAACCCCCCAAACTTATCGCCTTCCCCCGACACTACAATGGCACTCGTACGCCAGCGACGCCAGCTCAATCTCCGCCTCCCCATGCCCGAAGTCTCAGACCAGCGGCCTCGCTTTGCTCTCCCACTCCCTCCCTCAGCCACCGCGCTCCCCAATCCCGCTTGGTCCAACGTCTTACTGACTGATCTGGAGAAGCTTCAAGTCCTCGGCCATGGCAACGGCGGCACAGTCTACAAGGTACAGCACAAGCGCACCTCCAAAATCTACGCCCTCAAAATCGTCCACGGCGACAACGACCCCACTGTTCGGAGGCAAGTTTTGAGAGAAATGGATATCCTCCGCCGCACCGACTCCCCGCACATCGTACGGTGTCACGGGATCCACGATAAGCCTTCGGGTGACATCGCGATTGTCCTGGAGTACATGGACGCTGGCACTCTGGATTCTCTCCTTCGTGGAAACGGTACCTTCTCGGAACCGGAACTGGCTCACGTCGCCAGACATATTCTCAAGGGTTTGAGTTATTTGCACAGCAATAAAATCATTCATCGCGACATTAAACCCTCCAATTTGTTGGTGAACAAGAAAATGGAAGTTAAAATCGCTGATTTCGGCGTTAGCAAAATCATGTGCCGGACGTTGGATCCCTGTAATTCCTACGTCGGCACCTGCGCATACATGAGCCCGGAGAGATTCGACCCGGACACTTACGGCGGTAATTACAACGGGTATGCAGGGGATATATGGAGCTTGGGGCTTACTTTGATGGAGCTTTACATGGGTCATTTCCCCTTTCTGTCGCCCGGCCAAAGACCCGATTGGGCAACCCTGATGTGTGCTATATGCTTCGGGAATCCACCGAGCTTGCCGGCGGGAGTATCCGACGAGTTCCGCGGCTTTATTGAGTGTTGCTTGCAGAAGGAATCGAGTAAGAGGTGGACGGCCACCCAGCTCTTGGGTCACCCGTTTCTGTGCAAACATCCGATATCCAACAAGTGAAACCAGTTGCTTGACCCAAAAACCCAAGTAGATTTTTTGTGGGTAATTTTGGGGAATCCGACAGAGTTTTGTACTCTTTTGTAAATACAAGTCGGATCGAAAATTTTCCTTTAATTAATTTATTTCTTTCGTTGGTACGCTATTGTAAATACAAGTTGGATAAAGGCTTCAGCAGTACATTCGCTGATGATAATGAAAAAATTAGATTTATTATTATTATTATTTTGAACAACTACAATTGACAGATGAAAGTTAGAATTGTTAAGATCTAAATTTTAAATTTTTAAATGTTATAATACTTCTCCAAGGAATTATAATCATTGAGTTACAATAGTGATAGGTGAAAAATAGATTTATTTTAAGAGAGTATGTAAAGAATATTTGAACAATTTATCTTTAAATATATAACAAATAAAGAATGTTTAAAAAATTTACTATGTATTTATTTTTCCTGAAACTTACCTTAATTTCCGTAATTGTCGAAATTGATTGTGAATACTAGATTGTAAAAATATTTGTCAAACTCAACACTAGATAACATTTGCGACCTGCCAAAATCAGTTATCCATTAGAATTAACGAATTCCTCGTGCTATTTTTCAAATAAGGGTTAATTTGCATCTATTCAAAAAGTTTGAGGTTTACATTTTTGTTAATATTCTTATTAAATAGTATTATTTTTACATTATAAAAAAATACTACCTGAAAATATGGACAAAAACTTATTTTTAACCTTTTACCTTATCAAATTTGAAGGTTTTAGCCCATCACCTTATATTATGACACTTTTAACCTCTCACCTTACTAAATTTGTAGGTTTTAATTTATCACCTTATATTATCAGACTTTTAACCTCTCACCTATTAAAATTGAAGAAAATAATTCTCATTTTGTAATATTTTGTTAGTTCTATTAGTTATCTATTAACTTTATTAGTTAATTATTAGTTGACTATTAGTTGACAAAAATATTCTTTTAACTAACAAAATTAACAGAACTAATTTTATAATATTTTGTTCATTTTGTTAACTGATTATTAATTGACTGTTGATTGATGAAAACTTATTTTTAGTTAACAAAGTTAATAGTCAGTATAAAATGAAGGTTATTTTCTTTGATTTTAATAGGTGAGGGGCTAAAACTTATAAATTTAGTAAAGTAAAGGGTTAAAAATGTTATAATATAAGGTGATGGGTTAAAACTTTCAAATTTGATAAGGTAAAGGGCTAAAAATATGTGTAATAACAACTACGATGGATAACATTTCAGGTAAACTACATCAAATGGTTGTTTATTTTTATCATAAGTTTCAATTTAATCACTCTCTTTTAAGTTTGTAAATCCAATCCTTGAACAATGGACATTCATTTAACTTAGTATCAGGAGGACGAGGAAAAAGAAAGAAAAAAAAAAAGATCGATGTTTTGGGGATTTATCTTGTCTTGATTGCTTCAAGCCATGACATTAATTGCAAAGATTGTGCAATTTAGTCTCAAGAATGTATTAAAAGGTGTCTAATACTACTTAAAACGTCTAACTTTGGGTGTGTTTATAGATATATGTTAGCTCCCACAGAGGCTGGTGTGTGATATTCATCCGTCTCTCTTTTGTAATATTTGATGTTTTGAAATGATCTACCATTTCTTATATTCATCTTCGTTTGTGCTTAATTGTATTTATATGGATGTACAACCTTAATCTATATGATAAGGCATTTCTTAGTATTGTCGAT